ATTTAAATTAATCAATTTAATTTATTTATATTTATTTTAAAGTTATTAGTATTTTGATAGAAAGAGTATTTTTTAAGAGAACTAATCTAATTACATAAAAAGATATAATCTATCAGTAGAAACAATTAAAGTATATATGGAAGGCGATCAGTAAAAAAGAAGGAAATCCACTTTTTAGTTAAAAATTTTTATTAGTTCACTTTACTGATCATGATTATATGAACAAAACTAATCCAATAACTAAAATTATTTAAGATTTGTAGATTTTCCCCCTTTCTATTGATCACCTCCTATATGTATTTTAAATTTTAGTAAAAAACTATTTTAAAAAAAAAAATAAAATTTTTTAAAATAATTTTGTTTTATTTTTTTTTATGATTTTGATTTAAATAAAATAATATATAAAATTTATAATATATTATAATTTAAAATAAATTTTTTTATATTTAAATATTTATAAGTTAATTAAATTTTGACTTGAAACTTGATTTGAACTTGATTTAACTTAAATAAATTTAAGCTAAAATCAAGTTAAGTTAAATTTAGATCAAATTAAATTAAGCCTAATTTAAAATTTTATATAGCTCAAATCAAATCAAGTTGAAAGATTTTATAAAATAAACTCAATTTGACTTGATTTAAAAAAATGAGTTGAATAGAATTGATCTTTAAACTTGACTCAACTTGACTTATTTAAAACTCTATTTGTTTTTATTTCACTGCAATTAGAATTATAATATATAGTTAATAGTTAATACAAAGTTTAACACAAATTTGAACACATGAATATTTTAAATTTTTTTATTTGTGAATACATATTTTAGTAAACTAATTATCAAAATTATTAAAATACCTATATATATGAATAAATTAGTTTTAAACTATCTTCTCTAAAAATTAGGTAAACAACCTTTATGATAATAAAACTGTAAATCATAGTTAGATTTGACTACAGCTAAGCTTAATTTGTTAGCTATTAGCTGATTTGGCTAATCAGCTAAAATCAGCAACCAAATTTCAATTAACATTTAGCTATAACCAATGGTCATTTTTGACTATTTTGACCACTTTGATCATAACTAATGACCATTTTTAATCATTTGATCACTTTAGTTATAATTAAAATAACCAATTAGCTAAATCAGCTAAATATTATATAACTTTGTTAAATTTTAATTTTAACATTCAAAATGTTAAAATTCTTACAAAATAGCAAATAATTTAATATTTTAAATATTAGAGATGTTGATTTTTGCAATTTTATAAGAATCTAATATCCTAAATATCAAAGGTGTTAATTTTTATATTTTTAAACATTCTGAATATTATAAGCATTAATTAATTGCTATTTTGCAAAAATTTTTAATATCCCAAATGTTAAAAATATTAATTTTTGCAAAATAGCTCACTTTTATCAGCACAGCATTAGAATTCTCATTCCCGACTTAATTAATTGATTCGGAACATATACACTGATTGATCAATTGATGTTATATATATATATAATATAAATTTATTTATATACTTCGTCTTTGCTTCAAATAGAGAAATTTAGATATCTTCTCTTTTAAAGCCTTTTACGCAGAAAGTGAGGCAGTAATTGTAGGTTTTTCTTCTGTATTTTTTAAATTTCTTAATATATCTTGTACTTTCTTAGTTAATGATCGTTAAATGTAAGGTAATGAAATGAATATTTGATCCAGCATTTGTTATTAAATTTTTATTCATTTATATGTTTGAATCAACTTTTATTACATAATGACGAGGATGACGAGAATTTAATAAATATATTAATGAATACTTTTTGATGTATTACTAACAAAATAAAATTCATTTTGACCGAACAAATTTTCATTTGTACCTGGACTTTAATTACATAAGTAATAAATATTTCATTTAGAACCTGTAAAGTTTATTAGCTTTGATGGGTGGTTGTTGATGAATCCATTCTGTGATCTTAAATAAATATTTTTTAAACAAGACGTTGCTAAATGACAATATGGTAGGCTATTCAAACATGATTTCTAAGCTCCCTATATAAGTTACATTTGATCATCCAATAAAACCAAAGGTTTACAAACAAAAAAAAAAAAAAAACCTAAATTTGATGGCGTAACGATAAAAAAATTTTGGTGGGTTTCATAAACCCAACCGTGTTAATCAACAAAGTCGATAATTTGCAAATAAAAGAGACATTACGTGTATCTTAAATGCAATTTGTGCAATCACACTAAATTATTAAATGCAAAATAATTTATAATCACGAAATTTCATTCCAATACAAATCAATTATATGCTTTTTTTGAAGTTAAGACTCGTTAAACTTAATCATTAGCTTAATTCATTTTGAAGTAAAATTTGCTTTATTCTACTTTTGTTGACATTTAATTTGTCCAAGTTGATTAAATATGAATACAATATAATGAGAGAAACATCTCTCAAGTAGAAAGCACTTTTTCAACAAATAAATTTACAATCAAATTAAAAGACATATATTTTAGTTTGCATAATTATTTGAACGAAAAATAATCTCGTCCTACACAATTTTCAGTTTGCGAAAAAAAAAGATTGTATACATGCGCCACCTTAATCATGCATAATTTTTTGAAGTTTTAGGTTCATAAGGCAAAGTATTAAACCAACCACCATCTCCATAATCGACCAAAAATGTTTTCAATGAATTACTTTGTCTTCTAAAAATTTCAATGTAGCGTTGTGTTACCATTTCGTATAACGCGATGGAAGCAATGGGAAAATCATTTTTGTTTAGATCTTTCGTCTTTTACAAAGATATATCGTGTAACACTCTAAAACGTAAACACTCCCCATATAAATAAAGTATAAATTATTTTTGATTTTGATTTTGATTTTTATTTCTTTTTTTTTTTGTGATTTACAAAGTAAAAAATGCGTTTTAATGAATTATTTACTCGCCATCGAAAGACGGAACCTTCATCTGTTATTCTATTAAGAATATTGATTATGATAATATTAATATCTTCCCTCATAGGATATTTTACTATTTTGATTATCGAAGTGACTAATGATGACCCAATTGTAGCAGAAACAATCATTGAAGCAACGGAAATTCCGATTCCTGGTATGTTTAGAAAAAAGGCAAGAAAATCATTGTAATACATATATATTTTATTTATTTATTTATTTATAAATTATGATTATTCTTTTAGATATGCAATTTCAATTCCGTTATCCATTCGAATTGTCATGTATTTTTATAAGTAAGCATTTAAAAATAATTAAATATTTTTTGAATTTGAACTTGAATAATTTAACAATAAATTTTGTTCATATAGGATCAAAAGAAATGAATCTCGATAATAGTTGTACTGATTATTTTGAACAACTAGAAGTTTCTTCGGAAGACAACGTGTATATCAAACATTTTAAAAATAAGCAAAGTTTGAAATTTGTAAAACCAGAAATTGATGAAAATGCAATACGGGGCGTTTCTGTAATTGCAAAGATTGTTGATCCAAATTATAATTCCACCAGAAGTCATGATCTTATGATATTTAGTGCTTCCGATTCTGGTAAATTAGCTAATTTTTTTTTTTAAAAAGAAAATCAAAACATTTTTAATTAATAATACTGACCATATATTTTATATAGAAACTATTCCTACGCCTCCTATGAGTGATTACGACGAAGAAAGCCTTGATAAAATGCCTGCACTTATTTATTTTATGGTTAAAAATGAGGTAATTATTTTAATATATATATATGTATATATTTTTTAAAAAAAGATTAATGGAGAAATTATTGTTTCGTAATTATTATATTTAAGTGGTCACTAATACAATTTACTAGAAGCATAAGAGAACAAATTATTCCAAGCTTCAAAGATCATTTTGGATTCAAACCAACTTATTATAAACAAAATTATCTTTTGGCCAATTCACGTATGTAAAATAATGTATTATTTTCTGTTTAATTATCTCATTTAATAAGATATTTTTATTTTTTCGTAGAGAACGTTCCTTTGGATTTTGAAGTTGGTGAGATTTTTGCAAGCCAAATCACTTTAACTGTACAAGATTTCCTTATAACAAAAGAGACTGAACTAAGGCATGTTAATTATTTTTCATGAAGTATGAAACAAAATATATTAACTTATTTATTAAAATTTAATTGTTGTTACAATATAGGAGACGAACTGTAAGTAATTTCTTATCAAGTTGGATTCAAATTTAAATTATAATTTAATAACCTTTTTGGTTTCTAATAAAAAAGTTAGTCAGCATGTTAGCTCTTGTGGGTGGTGCTTGGAGTCTAGCTGCGGCATTGTACGCGGCTCTATTTGGTAGGCACTTTTTTTTTTAAAAAAAAATAAAATGTTCAAATTCATCCTTGATACCTGACATATGATTTCTTCTCTTGCAAATAGGTGTAGACCTGATTCGACCATGGGGTTGGGTGCAATTTTATTGTTGTGGAGTACGTAAAAAAGCACGTAATAAACTTATAAAATCTCTTCCGGTAATTCCGCTAATTAATAATTCCGAAAGACCTCAACCTTCCACTTCTAGAGACATTTTTCGTGATGAGCATGCAGCCTTACAACGTCGTGTTGATGCTTTAGAAGTTTTCTTAAGAGAGTATGTCGTGGACGTAAATTACTTGGAAGCTGTACAAGGAAATGATGACAATAACAATAACGATAACAATATGAACATTAATAATTATCATAATAATTTTGATCCCTCCTTATTTACGCTTAATGTACATGAACAACAGCCTAGACACTAATAATATTTAAATCAAACAACAGAAATCAAGTTCAAAATAAATAGATAAATAAACGAGATATTAATTTTATAAATGTACAGTTTATACAATCAAAGCTCATTCCAATGTTTAAAGGTCCGGGTTGCCAAAATCTCGGGATATCCTACTTCCTTTGACTTTTTATTAAATTATATCTTTTTAAAAAATTACTTTTAATCTTCCATTGCAACTTAAGTTCGATATCGGGGAGAAATATGAAACGAAAGAAATGTTTAAAGATACTTTTTCCTAACAATTATGAAACTCCCCCAGAATGGAAAATAATCGATAGTATGGCAGAGGTTCAGAATTTTTACAGCGATGTTATCAGATTAAATTTTATTAAGGTTTATGAAATAGGTCCTAAAAATTAGTACTATTTACCCAAAAAAAATTTTATTTTTTCAACCAAAGATTATTTTCCGCATCGAAAATCTCAAGCGGAAATTAAGTCAACAAACATTTCACAAGAATTTGATGTTGCTGATCAATAAATAATGCGTAAATATATATCAAAAATGGTAAAAAATCCACGATACTCGAAAGGTGATTTTCTTAGCTTAGGTTAGGTTTTGATTTCGGGTCGGTCTTCTATAGTCTTAGTCTTAGAGTATTTCTTTACGAGATTTTTTGTAATTTCTTTTGATTTGTACTTTATTTTAAATATTTTACTTTCATAATAAAGATATTGCGAAACTACCGCACTTTAAAAAAAAAAAAGGTAAAAAATCCACGAGCGATCGATTGAGAAATCGTGGAATTGAATTATTTCTATATCAACTTTCATATAAATATAGTAGAGTTAATAATTGCGAGAAGCAAACATTAAAATTGATTAAATTGACAATATTTTGTTCTAAAGCAATAAACAAAAATCTCTTACAAATATTCCTTAATTCTATCATTCATTTAATTTGAAAGGTTACCAAAACCAGACATATCCGATCCCTTTCAACTTACGCCTTAATTTGTTGTTTGTACTATAAAAAGAAAGTGATCCATACAATGAATAATATATATAAGTAACAATCTGCAAAATGCGTTCCACGAATTCGTGTTACATAAACACCTGCTCTTTTTTTGATTTTTACAATCGTTGATGCTCGGTTCTACGAAATTTGTGAAATCAATTGGGTTAAGGGTCAGGCCTTCACATATGTATATAGCGTATAAAAGAGTGAAAGATGAAAATTTATTTTTTATTTTACTTTATTCATCATTTAAAATACTGTACATATAATAAAAAAAAAAAAACTTTGGATTATATTTATATATTTTGATTTCAATTTTTAAAAATATTCGAATTTTAATCGCTCCGTCGCAAATTCAATATTCCTTTTTTAATTTATTGTATTCGTTGTGTAAGCATTATATAATTTAATAGTAATTTATTTAATTTAACAAACATAAATATTGTAAAGGTGAGAAACGAATATACATATATATCGATATATACATGTTTAATGACGGTAATATGGTAGAGAAAATTGTCCAAATCTTCCAGTCTTCTAAATAAACAAGCGGAAATTATTCGATTAGAATTGCGATTCGACTCCATAACAACAATCTACAAATTCTTGAAATAGTTAAATGAAAAAATATCAAAATAAAAATAAAAAAATAAAATAAAAAAAAATAAAATACAGTAATATTGTATTGGGTATGGTCAACCCTAAATACACAACCAGGGGAATATCCATTAATCCAATAAAATTAATTTTTTAATTGTAAATACTAGGGAATTTTTTGTAAAAACGAATTTATTGGAATGTCAAATCATATTTCTTTATAATGAGGCGCTTTAATAACTTGAAGTAAATTTATTAAATTTATATACAACAGATGTGTCATTAATTACGTTTTTACGCGTAATTTAAAGAGTGGGCGCGTGAATTTGAATAATTTTGCACGGCGAAACATTTATTCATAAACATTTTATAAATTGTACCAGACCGTTCTTTGGACCGGCTCAATCATTTATCATGAATTTAAAATAAATATGTATGTAGGAAACCTAATTTTTCTAAAATCGTAAAAAAAAAGAAGTAAAATGTATGCTTGGGAAGAATAAATTTGTAGAGAGTTACAACCATAATGGAAATAAGGAAACTCATGGTGATATCATAAGCAATTCTTCTTTTAAATTTGTATCGTGAAAAATAAATGCAATTTCGCGTAAATTTCTATTTACGATTTCAAAAAATATTTAACTGATCGTCATACTTTTATACTTTCCGCAAATGTTTTTTGAAACTTTAAAGTTCTCTAACGTCATCTTCCAAAACTTTATCATTTTTTTTCTGCATTAGTCTATGAATGAAAACAAATCATTATTACCATCTTACTCTTTACATAAATCTTTAAACTTTTTTTTGATTGATTTTTCCCCTAAAAATTATTGAACAATTTATTGTTATTACTGCAAAATTTATTAAGAGTTTGAACTAATTTATGTAACCGATATGATCTTTTAATAAATCTTCTCTTCTTTGTAAAATTACTACAGAAACTGCAGTGAAAGTTCGTTCCACCAAATTTTGGTTATATCTTTACAATGTTGAGCCGTCTTATATAAACCCGCAACGTCGTTAAGAATATCAAATTATCCCTAATGAGTGGAATTGTTGTGCAAAAGGAATCATTAGATCAGTAGTGGAAATCGTTTACGTTATAGAATCGGCGTGAACAATTAATTAAGTTTATATTATATGTTTTAGCGATATATTTGTTCACATCGTTGGTCACCCCAGTTACAAATTTTTCTTTGCCTACTTATGCGTTGAATTTGGCGGGTGATTCGCTTGTCGAAGAAAATTTTAAAAATCACGTTCAAAAGCTTTAATGACATGACACATTAGACAATTCTGTCGTTATCATCTCATTTGAACCGGCATTACTGAACTTGGTCGAAATTAACCGCGTGACAAATAAGGTGGCAAATAGACTTTTCACACTGAAATAATTCTCTGTCCCTGGAATACATAGTAAAAAACTGAGAGTGTGACACAGGGTGACAAATTATGGATCACGTGGGGTGAAAAAAGTGTTAGGAAGAATTTTTTTTTATCAACTTCACATGCTCGTCCATTTATCATATACCTCCTAAAATAAGCTCCATATGACATATAAGTATTATGTGATGAATATATAAAAAATTTATTTAATAAACAAATTACAATAAAAGGAGTATGTTATAGAGAGCTTATTTTTGAAGAAATATGTAGTTTATATTTAGCATTCATTTCTTATTTTGTTTGACAACAAAGTTTTTATATTTTAATTGAATGTTGATTAAGTTAACAACTGAATTAACTCAGGTAATAACAATGCAAGTATTATTTTAATTGGTTAAGATATTTGACAATAAAAAATTTTACAAAAGAAAATTTTCAGTTTTGATAAAAAAATGAAAGTTATATAAGGTTAATTTAAAAAAAAAATATTTAATAAAAGTTTTTATTCATAAACTTTGAAATTTATATATTTTAAAAAATTTTAAATATAACAAATTTTCAAAAATAACAAATTGTGAATAATATTAAAACTTAGACAATTTCTCTTATGAATAAGATCAAAAAGAAAACTTTAGATAGAATAGATATAACAAGTAGAAATAAAAAGTTATATATCTATTTATATAAAAGAGTTTCCTTATAATAAAGATAATGCAATGTTATAAATAAAGAAAAATTTTAAAATTAATTAGAAATATAAGTTGAAAGAAAATATTATAATTAAAAATCTAAAAATATAGGAGTATTATTTAAAAGAGAAGTGATTAATAATAAAGTGAGACTTTTCAATCTTGTTTTTTTATTTTCTATTTAATCTAATAATAAAAATTTAAAAGTTTAAATTTAAGATTTAAAGAACATTCAATACAATACAATCTTAATATTTATATAATTTTATTATATATTATTATAATTTAAAAAAATAATTTTATGTATAATATTTTTTAATTATTTATTATTTAAAGTAAGGTTAGTTGTATTTATAAAAACTAAAGTTAAGGTTGTAAAGCAAAATTTAAAAGTTTTGATAAATATTGAAATTAAAATCTATTAAAATATTTTGCTAAACATTTTATTAAAAGTAAAATAATAAAAATTTTAATAGGAAATAAAAGTTTCAATACAATTTTTTAATTTTAAAAAATTATTATTCTTATTTTATGAGATAAATATTTATATATAAAATTATTTTCTTTATAATATTATATATAAATATATATTTTATATATTTATGAAAGATAAAAAAAAATTTATAATATATATTAAAATTGAATTAATTTATTTTTTATTAAGTTTAATTATATTATTCATCTCTAATCAATATTTTCTTTATTTAAACTTATGATGATATTCTTATCTTCTTTATCTATTAAACTTTTATTTGAAAAATTATTATCTAAAAGTTAGCATAAAATTTGATATTTTAATTTTAAACATATATCTAATTTAAAATTAAATAAATCTAGATATAAAAAATAAATTCAATTTTAAGCTTTATTATCAATGATTATCCTTCTAATTCTTTAATAAATTTCAAATCTACTTAATAAATAATATATATTAACTTTAATTTAATTTAAAACTAGGAAAATGTGAATTATTGTTAAGTTTAAAGCAATTTCTCTACCAGTATAGAAAAGATCAATAAATGTATAAATTATATATAACTATTCATAACATATAACTAGCAATCTATGTTAACTCAATGATCAAGTGAATAAATAATAGGACATATTTTATCACTTTGTTAAGTATTATATAATCTTTTGCTTCATTCTAAACTAATAAAAAGCAAAAAAAAATCATTTTTATATATAGTTATAGAATAAAATCTTAAATTCATTTTGGCAAAAGTCAAAACTTTTCAAAAATTATTTTGATAGTTTTGATGAATTTCAGTAGATTTCAATAAGTTTTGAAGGTTTTAACAAGTTTAAATAGATTTTGATAGGTCTTAAAAATTTTAACAGGTTTGATAATAACTTAACAAATTTTTAAAAATATGTAAATATATAGGAGGCGGTTAGTAGAAAAGGGAAAAATCCATTTTTAGTCAAAAAATTTTTTATTAGTTTACTCTACTGATCATGATCATGTAAATAAACTAGCTTAATAACTAAAATTACTTAAAATTTGTAGATTTCTCTCTTTTCTATTGACTATTTCCCATATAATTATATAATAATAGTTAGCATTAAATAAACTAAATAATTGATAATCAAATATATATGTTTATTTTTTATTTGTTAAAAGAAAATAAAATTTTAAATATAAATATGAATAACTTATTTTTTAAATTATAAATATACAATTACTTTTTTTCTTAAATTCATTTATGTAGAATTCTCAATAAATAGAATATATTCCTTAAAGATGAAAATAATAGTTCAGTTTCTTTCAGATAAAAATTTTTAAAATTATTGTCAATTTTAAATAAAAATCTATAAAAAAGAATGCTTACGTTTGAAAGCATACAAGCT